GGTAAACACTCACATAGAGCAAGGAAGCCCACAGACTTTTGTGTGTCCAAGACACATCCCTCTTAGTTCCCAACAACAGCACCGGGAAGAAAAAGTGGTTTAGAATACAAAGTTGGCTACAAGCACACATACCACCATGAGGTCCTCAAAAAACAAATAAAATCATGACATAGCTGCACATGCAAATTGCAGGAGAATATCATGAGGTTGATTCCTGGCTACCATGGGCTTTAAGAAATGGAGTTTCAGGAATCGAACTGCCTCTAGTACAGTTGAACTCTCGAACCAGCCCTTGGGATCACAGAACAGCACAGCAGACTCAAAGAGATGTAAGACTAGCACTACACTGCAGATAATAAGCTACCTGCCATATAGCTGGAACAAGGATAAAGAGGAAAGTTGAGGTTTCACGTAACCGTACAGGATTTACCAGGTTGATCTGCAAGTATATTGGGACTGGATCATCAGCTGTACTGATTGACCCTTTTCACTGAAGATAAAAGCATTGTATTGTACAGCAACTGAATACATAGACCTGCCGAGTACTAGTTGACACATTACTTGCGCTGACACTGTGTTTGATGTTGTGGTGAAGAATGCTTCAACAACTACATTTGTCTAGTCGCCGAGCGGCGGTGACACGTAGACATGCCAGCACAGCACCCTGCCAGACCAACCCATGCTAGCTCTACTTCTGTCTGCATAGAAACACATCTTGCTTTAGCACTGAATTTTTACTTCTGATAAATCACCTCATTCTGCTCTAATAGTCAGTTATAATTAACTACTAAAAATGCATATGTATCACAGGAAGAGATGGACAAACTAAGAAAAACAAGAAGCTTCTGCCACACTAAAGAATAACTGCACACAACTCTACAAACAGGCTAGCTTTTACTTACAGTGCTAGTAAGAAAAATGAGTTTATCTGCTTTAGTGGTGAAGTGTATTTTTTCACTTCTTTCATCTATAGATTCCTCTCATTGACTTTTTCTCAGCCTGTAAAGGCCAAACAGGAATGATGTGGTGGATTGTAACAGAGGCACTTTTTCATGTCAGCCAGATTAGAGTTAAATCCCCATTGCATTTGGGAAGAAATTTGATAGAGAACGTGCACCTTAGAGGAAACCAGATGTGATTTCTAGCAGCCAGTTTTGATGCAACAATCCGAGTTTCTTGCCACACCTGTTTTCTTAACACCAGGCAGTAAGATAGAAAGGGAAAATCTTGGAGAGAAAACCACAGACGGATGTGTGCAGCTGATTCGCATACTCCAATTGCTATGACAGGGAGAGAGCTGATGACTTCTTCCCCCCTCCTCACAGTTTGAAAGGAGATAATAGGACAAACGCTGTATTATTTTTAAGAGAAGATGTCAAGATGAAAAAACGAAAGTGTCAAAAAAGAGGCTGATATATGACATTACTTAAGGACTATTTTGTTGAGAAAAACTGACCAAATGATTTACAAAAGGCTTTTAACAGGGCAGTCTTTGGATTACAGCGAAGATGAAAAATAAATGAAAATCTATTTCAAGTTTACTTTAGCCTAGTCATTTGACAGATGAGGGCAAAACCTGGCAAGAACACAAGTTTTAATCTTCAGATGTAGTGACTTTATTTGCAGTTTTGCGGATTAGACGTTTTCTCTGTGCAAAATAAGGGCTATCCATTTTCAGACGTTTCCTGTTGAAAGTACTTTTTCTATCTGAAACTCCCATGAGAAGCACATGAGTAAAAAGACCAATGCTTCTGCTTAGGGCACAAATACCACAAACAGAGATTGTCCTGACTCTGTTGCAGCCAGCATGTCCACCACCACCTTCTTTTCCCATCCTAATTCTTCTTTCAAGCCTCCCTCTTGAAACACATCCCTCCTAATTAATTACTGGATTAACTAGCCTAGTATCAAGATGGCTCATGGCTGGAGGTGGATCTTGGAGCATGGACTTGTTCTCAGTATGCACAGCCTGGCACATTTCTGCCTGGCCAGATGGGTCCCCCATCTGCTCTTATTTGAAAGAGAACTTCCTGGAATTAGGGTTTTCCTCTTAACCTTTGTTTGTATGATTCCTTTGCTTCCTATTCTTAGGAGTATTTTTTCCTCCTTTTCACCAAAATCACCTGAGATACATCAGATTTAAATACCAAAGAGAGAATAGTTTTAGGGCACATGTGGCTTTAAATTAGCACAGCTCTGCACAAAGACTACTAAACTGGAGCTGCATCAGCACAGCAAAAGGCTACTTTTGGGTTGAGTAGTCATACAGCAGAAATTATTTCCAGAGTTTAGGCTACAGAGAGCCTAGCAATATCAAACCAAACTGCCAGGCGTCAAAGGTAGCTTGAGCAAACATCAGAAAGCTATTACGGTGTGCTATAGTATTTTTCAGTACAGAATTTATACATCAAAAGCAGCAGTTGATCTTTTTGAGACTAGTTAAAAAAAAAAATCAAGATGGAAAACAGAGAGCTGATATCTAATTCTATGAAAATCTGCCACAGTTCTATATTTATTATAAGCCTATCACAGCACATCCTGCTCAAAGACATACAGAAAATGTGTTGCTAACTACCAGGGAATTATTGATTTTTTAATTTTATCCCCTCACAGTGCTATTGCTTGGTGGTGGTAGAACCGATAACTTGGAAGGGGAGTGGGTGGGAGGGGGGTAAAATCAATGTTACCATTATCAACTGCTGACTACAGTTTACAGCAGCAATAATCACCTTTAAAATAGCCTGCAGAAGTACGAGTTGTCATCTACATAAGGTATTACGGTTTTGTTCAAGTCGTTAATCAAAACATTAAATACTATCAGCATTTATTTTGTTATGGTTAAATTATGTTTTAGTGACCATCAGTATTATCTAAGCTTCTAGGTGCTGTTTGGCTGAGAATTGCCGTGTTTGCTGTTGGCATTATCTTTTCATTGCTGATAAGAGCGATTCGTTCCCCTCATTAGAGCAACTAATTTTTTCACATCCCGTGCTGCTTCATTCCTTTTATTTTAGTTCAATATTTAGAAGTGTTCCCAGTCAAAGGTCTGCACTTCCTCCAGTAATGCCCTAAGTTACATCATAGCATTTGTCACCAGTTTCCCCCCACACCTTCTTCCCAGAGGAGTAGGTCCTGCAGAGAAATCCTTTCTCTCCATACAGTTTTCTGAGATTTTTTTTTTTTTTAAATGTTGGACTGGGAAAGCATAGTTCCAAGATGCTTCCTAGTTCTTAGGCTACCTTAGGATGGTCTTCAGCAGAGCTGCATCTCCAGAGCACAGAGCATCTCTGCCCTTTCAGAATAAAGCTTTACTGTGCCAGAACAGAAATGTCACTGGTTACATCTACCTTAACATTTTGATTTGGCACAATAGTAGGATTGTTAGGCACTTTACCTTATTTTCTCCACACTAGATAATTCACAGACCAATTCTGGCAGTCACAAACTAGATGAATTTCAGAGAAAACTACCTGCACGTTCTGCATGAGCTGTGCAGAAAATGCAAGTAGCACCTAATGAAGGAGCAGGAATCCAAACCAGTGGCTGACCTTCTGGACAGCTTTGCGCAACATGCACAGGGACATTTTGCCTGAGGGAACAGAGTAAGTCTAGTCCAAAATAAAAGTCAAATGTCTACAATATAGATGTAGAGGCTGCACAATTAGCTTCTCCAATCTGTTGGTCCACTCTCTATATATCTAATTATTTGCAAACATGGATGTAACCAGTCAGAGCTTTAGGTCTTCCTCTGTAGGCTTTGGGGAAAGCACGTGCAGAGTTAATTTGATTCACAAGTCTGCAGCATCTTGGAGATTCTTTAAGGTTTTAACTTCTTTTCAAAGCTTTTTCTGAAGGGCACAGACATGCAGCCCATGAGTGCACAATACATACAGAAATTACAACTACTGGTCTTCTAAAATGCACTGGGTGTTTCTATAAATGTAAATTTGTAACCGAATGTGTTTACATATATATTTATGTCATAGTTTCAAGACTATTAATAAACTTCAACAGAATTGATTATGAAGAGGGTTAGTTCTATGGCTATTAGGAGACAAATCACAAGAGCTGTAGCTTTTCATTTTAATATGATATTCAAAACTTTCAATAAGGAAACCAAAACCAGTTTGCAAGTTTTCTTTTTAATAGAATATAGTGTTAATCTCTTTGCTGATGTCATAAACTGCCATTGAATACTTTATAAAAACATTATGTAATTATATATATATTCAACTTTGCATCCTAGAGCACACTGTATGTACCTCTTCTCCAAACACTGAGAGAAGTGCTGACCAGAGAAGCCAGCCACTTGTTGGAGATCTCATGAGTGGAACTAGTTAGATGTACCAAGAGCTGTCACTCTTGCCTTCCCCTGCTCACATTAGAAGGCTACCCTGCCTGCCAACATAACTGCTTAGCTCATGCTATTTTTACCCTTTCATCTTTCTCCAATATTGACTTAAAACCTGTAATTTTTACACCTGGAATTGCATCTGTTAAAGCTAAGGGTTTAAGAAACATGCCAAGGTCCACCCACATAGAACCTATCACTTGTACAAAAAATTATTGCAAAATCTACCAAGTTGACATTAAAATACACTCTAGGTACACAGTTTCCACAGGTACATGTGTCAGACAACTGCCACTCATGTTTGTGGAGCTAGGGCTTAACAGGAAGTTGTACTGTAGCATTTTTGCTTATGTTATCTACAAGATAAAGGCAATACAGAATTTTACCACAGGAACTTTTTTCTAGAACAATACACAAAACCCTAATGAAACTGCATTTACGATGTAACCCCAGCATAAATTTTAATAATGCTTGTTCGTATATCACAGCTGTCAAGAGAGAAAGTGAGAGTTCTTATTACATTTGAGACTTAGCGTTGAGTTATACGGAATAACTGTATACAGTAGGTGTCTTAGTCACAGTTTGATTATCAGTAGCTTTTAGTGATTTAAGAAATAGAAATCTAAAACATGTCTCTTATCTTTTAAAGGAGCATTATTCTGAACCCAGCTTATTTCCGGAATCACCTGCGCCAAGCTGCTGTGTTTAGGTACCTGGAGAGATACTCTGAAGCTGCAAGGTACTTCACTACTCATGGGTTTCTAATGCTTTCTCTACCTCTCTTTCATTCCAGCTCTCAGTAGTAAGGATATCATCTTATATCCAGTCTTTTCCAAAATCAGTGGGAGCTTTGTGTATATGATCTCGCACGCAGCAGATCTCCAATCCTCCCGGTTGGCATAACATGAATAATCCCAATTATGTCCCTAGTTGCAGTTAGGCTAATGAATGTAGGAGCATTTCCTCGTTCTTGGGCACAGGGGTGAACCCTGATCAGGTCCCAGGGCTGTGCTGGGGCAAAAGCTACACGCACACAAGCATCTTCTGCTCCCTGGTTTCCCCATAACCCTGGGCAGAAGCTCTGGTGTGCTCAAAGTGGTTTGAAGAAAAAAAAGAAAAAAGAAAAGAAACGAACGAAGAAAAAAATAACCAAGATCTCAGGGTACACTGTGATATGCTGCAAAATTTAGCCTATGTGCAGCTGATGAGATGGCTGGTGTGAACGGGAACTGCTGGCAGGAGGAAAGCCTGCAAGAGGAAGCTCTGCTTGTATGCTTGCATTAAACGCTGCCAAAATGTAAAAGTTTCAACATACAGCAGAAGTTTTTAATCACTTCACATGCTTAAACAAAAGAAATGCTATGATGACTTGGTACGTATCACCATTACTACTAACATTAGACATTTACAGAGGACTGTTTGGCTGAAGACCACAAGGTATATCACAAAATATTTCACAAGTCATTAGCTAACTAATGGCAGAACAGTCAGGACGAATTAGGCAAGAGACGGAAAGGGTCACTTTGCTCATCATTTAAGATGGATGTTAGTGGTAGAGCTCAGAAGCTATTAAAATCACAGCAAAACAGTTTGCACAGGGACTGGAAGAAGACTTTATCCGAGCAAAGTTGCAGAGAGGACTGGGGAACATGAACTTCAATTTATTTGTGCTGGACTTCAGGCAAGAACTCTAGGACAAGCACTTTTCCTTCTGCAGGAATTGAGATGATGTCAAAGTAATCTCAACTAGCTTTCAGACATCAGGACAGGGAGAATCAGCTCTCCAAGGCAAAAAAACCAGTTTTTCCAAGTTTTTTTAGAAATGTGCTTTCAGAGAAAGCTGGAATATTTAACTTGACCATAACCCCACCCACCCATTTTTGGGTTTTTTGTTGTTGTTGTTTTGGGGTTTGTGTTTTTTTTGGAAACACAGCTCACTTTTCAAACAAAGGTGTTTCAAACTAAGTAAATCTTTTTGCTGAAAAACAATGAAGCCTTGAGATAGAAAAGGAGATCTGGGAACTATCTCACTGATAACAGTCTCTTCTTCCTAAAATCTTGTTGAGAGTGTTGATTCAGAGGTAAGTTGTCATCTACTGAATCATCAACAGTTGAGGTCCACTGACCAGCCAGACATTTTAGAGCTGCGTTAGGAGAGTATGTTGCTTTGTGACAGGATGGGAATCCTTCCCAGGATAGAATCATAGAATGATAGAAGGATACATTCAAAGCCCCAAATTCACTAATATCCTAACAGGTGAAGCAATACAGGGGGAATTGTTTGGGATGCTGGGACAAGGCAGTCTTTCCCCTTGAAGTCAGATTGAAGATTTCTTTAGAACAACAATAATAAAAGATTAAAAAAATGTGCTTTCAGAAACTGAGCTTTCCTATCCAGCAATACATACAAGAGCTGATATTTGAGAAGACAGTACGAACCAAGGTGTTCATAAATACGATTAAAAAAAAAAGCTGGTGTTACTGCAGATAAGTAATCAGTAAGTTTACAACATCAGCAAGCAAGAGGGAACTGTGTCAGCCTTTTTTCCCCACATTGCGTAGCTTTCAAGAAACTAGATGATTTTAAATGAGATTATGTATTTTGTAAAGGAGAGGAACATTCTGACAGACTGAATCCAGAGTGGTTCCAAAAGCAGTGACTATAGCAGTATTCAGAGTTTAGCCTAGTTTAACATAGTGTTATAGCAACTGTGCAGAGCTGCTTCTGCAGATTGTGTTAAACTAAGCTTAGCACTACTTCTGTCATCTCACTGGAGTCGCTGGTCTTTCTCGAGCCCTACTAATGGTGCGGAATGTACTCTGCTTGTTACAGACCAACCGTGGCATACAGTTGCAGTTTCTGGAAATACAAGTTTGGCTTTTCTTAGCATAAGCTGTCATTTATTTCTGCAAGCTTTTTGCACAAGAACAAGGTCACTGCATTCCTTGTTCTGCTTTTGAGGATCCCTCGCCTTCCCACACCCCCCCATATGAGTTTTTAAGTTATTGCATAGCCCATGAAATACACACGGAACACTGTATGGGTACCCAAACAGGAGTGGCTGGTTGTGAACAGTACTGCTTGGTACACGCAGCATGGATGATGATGTTCAACTCAGTTTACCTATCAGGCTGAGATCCCCTGACCTTCTGTCTCTGAGGAGGTACCAGATCAAATTCTTCAGTTCAAAGTCATAGGTTAGAGTGGAGTCAACTGTAATTTAAGCATCTCTAAGTTCCTCTGTACAATTTTATCTAGTACATCTCAGTATCAGGAGAATAAGCATAAGAAACAGTCTAAAAACAAGGACATCTGAATTAATGTAAGGAGTTTGATATGCCCATATCTGCATCAGTTCTGAATTTTGTCAGCTGCACAGCGATTCCTTTGGGATAGCACTGTGATAGGATGCCACCATGTAGAGTGCAGCCTAAGGCTATTTGGCATTGTAAAGCAATCCTGGAAACACCACTGTGGGGTCACAGCATCTGCAAATGATGAATTCCAAAGTGCTGCAACTGCTTTCACTAGGATGTCAGCTAGTAAATATATTTCTCCTCTATTGGTATCTCTGATGTTAGAAGACTGCTCTTGACAAACACAGTAAAGATTTAAACCTCAGAAGGAAGAAAACCTATTTCAGTTGAAAGACCATCTTGGCTCCGCACAAATGGGCATAAATGCGTTTTATATAAATTTAGTCTGGAAGTTACCAGGAAGTTCTAGACATTAGAAGATGTTTAGGCTAAGGATCAGCATTCAATAGCAGCTCCTGGAATTACCCTGCCAAATGACACATGGTCACAGATGATCAGCAGATGACTCCATAACCAGAATGGAAAGTTCAGGAAAGGGTCCTGGGCTCACTTCCACCGCAAAACTGAGAAACTGCTCTTGGAGAAGGCCAGGGAGAACTCCACCTTCCTGGCAATATAAGGACTGCTACCTTAAGGAAGGATGAGATGCAAGGGGATGTGTCAGCTGAAGAACTTCAGAGGTCTATACTGCCTCCGGACAGAGCAAACAAACCACCAGCCCCTGCTTTCAAGGACAAGAGTGATAGAAAGGGAGCATGTACTACCCAAGGGTGAGCCTCAAAACTCCTGAGGAAAGAGTTATCAGAGCCTACATGTCCTCCAAGTCACCAAGCCCGCAGGCTGTGACCCCACAGCCGCCTGCTACGCATCCGCAGGAGAAGGTCTAACCAGGCGAGCAATAAGGCATGAAAGCAATTTTTCTTCTTTACTCAAATAGTGCAAGCTATTGCTGACACTGAATAGCCCTGAATCAGTAGGAAGGTGAAAAATTGTAACTTACGGAAAAATAGGGCCACCTGTTTGCTTTGAAACTGGAGTTTAAAGTACAGAAGGGATTTTGTCCCTTTTTCTCATTAAGTTATACAGCTCTCATCATTTTTTGCTAATCAAAATGCTGTGCTGATTTAACAGTGTCACTGTGTTCTGTGAAAAGCTTAAGATAGCTCTTTTATCACCAGCTAGAACACTACTGACTTGAAATTAGTTGTATACATGTAGGGGAAAACAGACTGTCTGTCCCTCTGCCAGAACAAACAACTCATATTCATCTGACTGCATAGAGTAGGGGTAAGCAATCCTTAAGGAGGAAGGAGCTTTAGGATCTTAATAGCTGTGGTATGGCTGACTCAGCTTTTTGACACTCCTATTAAAAATACAGATAATCCCATCAGCTGAAAAGCAAACTAGGTCTGCAAGTAGTAAACCTCAGCCCTCTAAGTTCAGGTCAGTATCCCCTTTTAGTCAGGCTTGAAAATGTAGTGTCAGAAAGCCAGGTGAATAATTTGGGGTAGTTTGTATGCCTGGTTTTGTTTTACAAAGCATACAACTGTACTAAGGAAAGACACATAAATAATTGGGGTTGTGGATGCAAGCTCAAGGAGCTGCCAGCTGTCTCTTGCACACACCAGCTACCTGCCTTTTCCCTTGGAAAAACAGGGCAGTTTAGATTCTCTCTCTACCCTAATTGTTTCAGTTTTCCTATGCAAAAATGAACAAGAAATCCAGTTCTTAAGAAAGACAAAAAAATCTGTCGTCATAGCAACGGACACCTCTCCCACCCAACCCATCAACACTGAGAGTCCCTTGGGGGCTCCGCAGTTCCCCAACACAGAGTGAGCTCTTGCAGAGACGGAGGGTTATTTTTACACCATTATTTTGGGAACTGTCAGTGGTCTGAGTGCAGTACCAGGTAGCACAGTGGGTGCCTCACAGCCAGAGGCCCTGACCCATGCCACTGCGGTTTGGCATCAGGGCTGCTCCAGTGGGGAGCGGCAACCCACCCCCACCAGCAAGCACATGGCATGGGGAGGACACAGTGCCCAGGACCATGAAAGAAAATGGATGTTTTGCCCATGCACACAAAGGGATCCAAAAGCTTCTGCTGGTTATGTGACCCCCATCCTCCCTGTAACAGAATTAATGGAGCACTTCATAAATCAGATTTAGGAAAGCAGCTCTGACAACTGCTGGGATCAGTCAAAGCCCCAAGGCAAGTCCACGTGTCCTATTATTTAATTTGACACCAACATACGATGTTGGTCAGCGTCTACACTTACTGGCCATGATTTCTGCACCACACACATTATTCTTGATCACTTGAAATTGTCCAAGTGTCAACCAACAGCTTGCTCTGACAGGGTCACATCAGAGGCAAGAGGCAGCCTTCAAAAACTAGTTTTTCCACACCCCTTGCCAGAAGTA